TAGCACGCTGAGTTTGTTTGGGCTTGTGCATGTTATTGGAGGACATGGAGTGTGCAGGTCGGCAGGTCAAGCTTTTTAAAGATTGGTGATGGGCCAGAAAATTGTGATCAGTGCACCCCTACATTCTTCCATCAGTTCTATCATATCCCTCCCTGTAAATCGCAGTTTTACTGTAGATCACAAATAACACTGGGGAAAATATACTATAAATATACTACAAAGGAAAACTGGAGTATTTTACTCCTAAGGAATCTGTAGTTATAAATTATTGCAATAGAAGTTCTCAGGGCATCAGGGGGATGGTGCATTTTATGAGCATATATCTTTATTTATTAATTATTCCTCTGATGTTGATGACTTTCTCTGTGTAAAATCTCTTGATATTTCTTAGAAACAGGAATTGTCAGTACAAGTTCTAGGAGTGCCGATTTCTTTCATTACATGGAAACACAGGTATAAGGTGTATCTATAGGGGACTGACACCCTCAATTTAAATTTATGCCCTTTCAAACGCTGCCAAACCCGTGCTGAAGAATGTAAAACACTGCAGGAACATTAAATGTGTGCACATCCTACACTAACTGCAGATGGAGAGTGGAGAGAAATGACACAGTGAACAATTAACATGATATAGGTGTTCACTTCCATCCTTTATTGCCCTCTCTCTCTCTGTTAGTGTCTCCGTGTTCCCTCCTCTTCCCTCCGTCTTCATTCGTGGCCATCTCTCCTCTCCTTAATGAGTCTTTGTGAGGGACAGTAGCCTTTTAGCAGCCAGAGGAGCTAATGGCTCTGCTGATGGCTGCTGCTAATGTCTCTGGGCTAATGGCCTTGGCCACCGCGGATGATAACCATGAACTAATAGCATGAATGACAGATCGCCTGCTGCTTTCACACTCACGCTCCGTATCATGAATAGATGGATGGTCTCAGGGGAGCAACTAGGAAGTCCAGTCCCCATGAATATAGATATAATACCCAGAGGAGGCGTCGTTATTGAGATTAGATATAAAGATGAAGGTGATGTCAGTGTGTAAAATGTACAGCAAAGTGCAAAGAAAAATCACTCATCCTGATACCTCTGCACAGAGCGAGCATTGCAGGAAGTGTTCAAAGTCATATTGAGATTTGTTTCAGTTTGAAGCACTTCTATATTTCTGAGAGCATCTTTAGCATGACTATCTTTTTCCAGAACAGCTTCAATCAGCGGTTATTGATACTTTTTGGCAGATAGGGGTAAGATGCTCCAGTCCTCATGATAGACCGTATGCAAAAAAAAAAAAGGACCAGAGCATCGATTACCTCCATTACACCACCATCATTCATCATGAGTCAGTTCAGGAGCTGGGTAGATCAGTCACTGTTGGTCAGAGCACTGCTGCAGATGTTCTCCATGCTTAAAGTCACTTGGTTCTTTGGATCCCTGATTGTGGCCTTGTTCTTACCACTGAGACTGGTCATCTTAGGCCTAGTCCACATGTAAACGGTTGTTCTTAAAGATGTAGCTCTTTGGCCCGAGCTTGGTCACTGTTGGAGGACATGTGGCAATATATCTGCTGGACATTTTTTGGGAGTGTCCTGCACTTTCACCATTTTGGGAATGTGCGATAAAAGAAATCACTTCAATCCTAGGTTCAGATATAGAGCGCTCTCTCAGTCTTATTAACTTGGGAAATTTACCAAAAACCAAGAGGAAACAAGACATTTACTTGATACAGATTCTACTGGTTGGTTGCAAAAAAAACATTAACCAGAAAATGGCTCAGCAAGGACCCACCATCTATTTTGAAATGTACAGAGATCATAGGGGAGATTTATATTATGGAGTAAGAAGTTTGAGAGGTATTCTTGAAGACTTAAAAACAGGCAACTGGACTGTGTAGAGTTGAGAAGACGTTCCGCCTCTTATCCAAGATTCTTCTTTAGTTCTAAAATTGCTAGTGTGAGGAGCAGATATTTATCCTGCAAGTTTTCTCGTGCTCCCGGACCAGCTGAAGGGTATCCAACCCAAAGTGTGATCCAATATATCCATGTAGATTCTCATTCATCCAGGTCATGGTTTTCTTGAAGAAAACCTTATTCAAGAAAACCATGACCTGGATGAATGAGAATCTACATGGACTTTTTGAGAGGTATTGGGAACCCTGGAAATCTTATACAAATTTAACAAACTCAAAGTGCTCGTCTTATCCTGTGCAGAGGTCACATTCTTCAATTTGTGTTGGATATGAAGTATAAATGAATATGTCCCCACTGCCCAGCTTTGGATTTACATTTTAGAAAAGAACATTTTTGTGAGTTTTTGCATTTGAAGCCTGTAACGACCCTGTCTGCGACCTTCTTTGTTACTTTCCTTTCACTGCTCGTTTAATGTAAAAACATCTAATCATAAAAATAAAGTATAAAAATAAAGATGTAGCTCTTTAGATGTGATTAGACCTTTTATACACATGTAAACTGAGTGTGGAGTTACTGACACCGTGCATTTTTGAAATTCTGTTTTCTGTGTGTTTGTGGGGACAGCAGAAATGAACGTTTTGGAAGATGCTGACTTCACTACTTAAGTTGCACTTGGGAATTTTTGTTTGTTTGTTCGTTGTGCACATGAGCAGGCTGCTGATGAAGGGAAAAACGTGCAGTTCTTTATAAGTAGTATGGTTTACAGTGTATCTAACTCAGTCTCTTGTATTTTCTCTATTCTGTACATGACGACAGGGTCATTGTGACTTTAAACGGACGGTATTTTATTCTAGTTGATGGGGTGGTGATGTTGATGATGACACATTACTACAAAAGGAAGTGCATCGCCTTCAACAGTGCATGACAGCACTATGCCCAAGTGCACTTTGAGCTGTTTTGACACTTACTCATGTTGTTTCCTTCTGTTTAGGTCTTTGCTTGTGTTGTTCTTACTCTCAAATACAGTTTATGTCACTTAGGATAAAAGCATCTGTTAATGACATTGTAACATACATTGTGCGGAGACAGGCTATCACCACAGAGACAGATTATCACCACTTATTGGTGGGAGACAGCATATCTTTGGAAAACAGAGGAGGAAAACCGCCTACATGTCAATCAATCTCTATTTAAATAGCACATTTTCACAACAAGTGTTATCTCAAGACGCTAGACGAGACTCTATTTACAAAGACCCAGTGTAAAGATGGGACTAGACTCACTCTCATTCCATCTTCCACCATGAGTGTAGCACTTTGCAGCATTTAGAGAGTTCCAGTGGAGAGGAAAAACTTCCTTCAACAGGCAGAAATCTTTAGCATAACTCATATAGACAGTCATCTGCTGCTTCTGCACTGAGTGTAGAGAGAGGATAGAGGGAGATGCAGAAAGAGAGAGATGGACAGAGGTGAGATTGATGCGTGTAGTTGAGGCAGCTAGGAAGCAGGCAGATCCACAACACTAAAACGTCTGCAGCAGCGATCCAGAGGAACCCCAGAAAGACTGTTTATAGGTGGCTCTAACGGGGCACGGTGGTTCAAAGTTGATAACGCGGACAAATAGACGATAGAGGAGAGAAAGGTGCTCATGTGGCAAAGCCTTGATGTTGTTAGATTTATTGATATCAGACGTAGCAGCTCTGTAAAAAACCCAAGACTAAATCAACTCCACTCGTTTGAACATACTGATGAGTATGTAAATGAATTTCTACAAAGTGTGTTGTCTCTTTGATCACTCATTAATGTTGCTGTTTGTTGATTGTGAGTCAAGCAGAATAGTTTGAAGTGACACCAAGAAGAGCCATAAACTGAGTCCGTATAATAAGAGGCTTGTGTGATTCTTTGTTGAATAGGTTTTTTTTTGCCAAATTTAGACTATGACCCCTTTTCATTAATTCAGTTATTTCTTCTAACTATTGGAAAAAGGACATAGATAAATGGTTTTTAAAATATCCAGTAAGGTCCTGCACATTTTAATCAAGGTCTTCAGTTTCACAGCCTTACATCATGTGATTCATACCTCAGCAGAAAACAACTCAAGGTGTGATTTTTTAAAATTTTCTCGACAGGATACAACATCAGTGTTTAACAAATACTCTCCTTCATCATGGAAAGTTTTTTTTTTTTCTTTCATTATCTGAAGTTGTCCTGTGCAACAAATTAGAAAGTCACAGAGAGGCTCTTAAATGTCTTACTCTCTGTAGGATTTTACTTGTTGCAGGGCAGTGGTGCCCTCTGCTGGTGACTCCATGACCAGAAATTGAGAGGGAGGAGAAAATCACTGCAAAAGAAAGGAGGGTGAAGATAGTGGGAGAACTGAATGGAGGAGACATCAGCCAAATTAAAGAAAACTGGGCAAATGCTTCACTGGACAATGTAGAGACATTCATGATGCTACACTGGAGTGAAAAATGTCAACAGGCTGTAATAGGTACATGGCAGAAGACCTGAATTAAACGCTGATCGTTTTATTGATCTAGAAAAAAGCTGCGAAAGTTGCCCACTGAGCGGTTTTTGGTCTAATAGAGGTCTAATAGACGTCTAAATGTAGCTTAGACGAATGGTCTAAAATCAGGCTACCACAGGTCTAAAAATAAGTTTTTTAGACGTCTAAATTTAGACCAAGTTTAGACCAAGCCTAAATCTGGGCTATATCTATACTACACTGTATATTGCTCAACGGCTATCATAATTATTTTGGTTAAGTACTTGGAGATCAGTTATGCAACTCACAGTTGCTTTTTGAAATAAATAGTTATTGAATAACAGTTTAAAGTGCAACATCTAAATTCCATCTAAAAATACACAGAATCTAGACGGTTGAAATTAGGTCTACAAAGCAACTAGACTAGCTGTTTATTACTCAGAGGGTAAGACTTAGTCCGGACTAAAACTTTCAAAGTAAGGTCTGTTAAGTAAAGAATTAGGGGGGTTAGATATTATAATGCTTTTTACATTGTTGTGTAGCAGTTTGAAGCCATTACTTAGAAAAGTTGTTAGTTTTAGAAATCTTAAGCCAAAAGGAGACAGGAAAGAAGCCAAGACTCTGATTAAGACCTGTACTCAAAATAAAAATCATTTATTGATACAAACACAGTTTGTTATACATGAACAGGATAACTCCCACTCAGCTGTAGAGACACACTGAGCGGAAAGGTGGAGTCAACATCAGAATGTATTTTCCAGTAATCTCAAAAAACATTTATTAAAATAACTATTACACTTTTAATAAAATAAGCCAAAATTACAGGCAAAGCGGAAAAGAAGGAGCTATCTGGGTCTACTAAATAGATACAAAAAAATACATCAGCCTTTGTAGTTCAAAACTACAAGATTTACTAATCTCACATGAGAGAAATGATCTGTCACCACAAAACAAAGAAACAAAGTCAGAGTGAGTGAGTTAACGATTTTAAAGGAAAATAAAAATAAACCTAAAAACAGGACGAGACAAAGCACTAAAACAGACTAAACTCAGCTCTGACACTCACAAAGTCCACACGTCTCGTTTTGTGCCCACAGTGAAACTCAAAAACACGTCAGAAGCAAACATGGAGAAGGCAGAGAGCACAGTCAGGCCGTCGATCGCTTTCTTTGGAGACACTAACGCCGGTGATTGCATACGGAGCGCTTCAGTCTATCTGTACTGGTAGTTCATGTTGCCCTCACCCCGGCCGTACCCAGACTGGTTATGGTACTGAGAGTGGTTGTTTCCAAAGCCCTGGTTTCCTCCACCCCCTCCACTTCCCTGTGAGCTGTAGCTGGATTGGCTGTTGAAACCTGCAGAACAAGTATGCGTCTGTTAGAAGAGACTGTTGATGTTTTTAAGAAGAGGCTCAGGACTCACCTTTTTAAGCAGGCTTCTCATTTATTGCCTTTTTATATTTCTCTTACTGCAAATGTTCATTTTAATCTAAGTTCTTAATGTTTCTTTTATGTCATTTTATTAGTTATTGTTCTTAGTCTTTTTCTAATTCCCATCATAGAGGTTTTTACTCCTTTTACCCCTTTAACATGGTATAGAGCTCTTACTTATCTGTTCATTAAATACCGTTTTCTTGTCCATCAGCTTTTACTCTCTTTACCATTTTTATCTTTATCTCCAGTGTTTCCCAGAGGTAGCTCTTTCCTCACGTAATGTCTCAGTGTCATGCCATGTCTCCTTAACAATATAACTTAAATTCTCACTTTGAGTGCGCTTGTCAGGCACTTTAAACAACATCCTTTTGTCTGAAAAGTGCCATGCAAATAAAGTTGAATTTGAATTTTGAATTTAAAAGAACAAAGCTAAAACCAGAAAAAGGATCTATTTCCTTAAACAATTACAGGTTTGAAAAAGCAAACATTTTCAGCAGCTACTGAATCACAATGGGATCTATTTAGAGTTATATTTCTGACCATACGATGGGCTCAAACCTACTGAAGAGACGATATCAGACCAAAAGCAAACTGAAAACCAAAATGTACAAAGTAAACTCTCTAATTCTGTTCGAAGTCGATGAAACTCTCAGTGTTCAGATTCCCTGACTGTCACAGACACCCCAGCAAATGCTCAAATAAGCAGGAGCACTTCATATCTTGTCCTCATGCTTGGTAACATCATGGGTAACTATGCATATTGCCACAGTGTTTACTTTGAGCATCTCCACCTGCGCTACATGTACAGCGTAATGTCGTGAGTTTTTTTTTATAGTTTAAATGTTTTTCACAACTTTTCTCTACTGCTAATTGAACCTGTTGACTGTGTTGTAAAATTATTTCTGCTATAAAAAAATCTTAAGTTGTTCTTGAAAAGAAATCAAACTCACCTTCATAGCTGTAGTCCTGGTTTCCACCTGAGCCCCCTGTCACCTGGCTAGGATAGGCTGTGCTGTATGAGTATCCCCCTGATCCTCCCTGGTTCTGGTTGAAACTCTTCTTCCCCTGACCGTAGCCCTGCCCGTACTGGTTGTAGGAGCCCTGGCCCTGGGGGCTGCTGGACTGGTACCCCCCTACAGATCCAGCGTTTGCTCCTGGTGGACCTGGAAAGGGCACCTTCCCTCCTTTGTGCATGGGGGGTTTCTTTTTGGCTGTTTTGGTGGTGGGCGTGGCAGTGTAGGCTCCGTCGTTCTGGTAGTACGAGCCGTATGAGCCCTGAGCTGATCCTGGAGGTGTGTTAGCTGGGGGGCCACCTGAGGGACTGCTTGGCACTCCTGCTCCCCCATTTGTGCCACCGTTGTTGTAGTAATCTGGGAAACAACAGGATGGTGACAATCTTTAAATGTGTTCAAACGACAGAAGGACAGAAACAAGAATAAAGGAGTTCTTCTGATACCAGGACCAGTCTCTGACAGTGTGTGACGTTACTAACAACTATACTGCAGTTGTGGAGCTAATTTTAAAGAAACTTTACTACTTCTGATGAACTCTTAGTCCTGTGTTTGTGTGATTGGACAGAGAAAAAAGGCCCATAGATGATAAATCTGAGATTCGTAGTTGCAAAAGCGAGGTTGTACGATTGTGATTACCTTGTCTAAATAATAAGTAAGTGTAGGAGGAACAATTGCACTAAAAAAAACATTAATTCACAACATGGACAGAACACATCCAACATATCATAACAAGACTTATTTGTTATAAAAAATAAGCTATAATTTAAGAGAGCAAAGCTAGAAGATATTTTCAAGACAGTCATGAGATAGCTGTGTCTAATTTTGAGGTTATGGGAAAGTTGAAATAATACTACAATTGTTGGTATGAGAATAAAGTCATAATATTATGGGAATAAAGTTGTAATATTGAGAGAATAAAATCTAAACTTCCATGTGGAAGCAGTCTTGATGTTTCGAAGACAAATCTAAAAAAATTATGTTTGAATATTTAAAAAGGAAAAGCCACAATTTTCAAGGTCTCACGTTTTTAAAATACAAGCTATAATTAAGATACTAAAGACGGATTTTCTTCACTAAAAGCTGTAAAAGCAGGTTTTTAGTGTTATAGTCTATATATTTGATTTAGGCAAGTTGTTCCTCCATAAATCAAGTGTATTCAGACTTCTATCACTGTTGCTGGCAAACCTGACATTATAACTCTCACCACTTCTTGATTCTGATTGGTCGGTGATCAAGACGCGACAACAAGGAGTGCATTGGTGGTCGATGAGTTGAACTACTCTAAAAGCAAGAGCGCAGCAACTGAAATCAGACAACACTGAAGGCTGCACTGCTGAACTGGTCAGAACAGAAACTCGTCCGTGTGTGAATACAGCAGTATAGGAAACAGCCCCTGAATATATCATAAATTACAATTGAGTTTAGGCATCACAAACAAACTGTAATACTTAGTGTTGAGCAACATCAGAACCACTTAATCGTTAATATCAGGGCTAAGAAAAAATTACAAAAAATAGAATAAAAATCAGTCAGTTCTATATGTTCACAGGCATGGTTCAGTTTTTCTATGTTATATCGCCATTGGGCAACTTAACTGGACTAGTACAATCCAGCAGATACCAGATCTATTGACGCCTTGTGTTCGCCCACACTGCACTAGGTAGCCACGTCATCTTTTAGCTCATAACTATTGGGCTGTTTCCTGGTTGACTTAATACCTCATGTGCAAAAACAACTGACTAGCAAATCAACAAGAGGCTAACTGGTTTTAAATATAAACATCTTAAATGCTCCTGTCCCTGTCATATACACAATACAGCTTTGTCTTTCTTCTCCCCTTCTTTATTTTTGTTGAGGTTTTCTTAACTACCTCACTTCCTCCATTGAATGGATGATTTCCCACTTTCAGATCAAAGCCAAGCATGCAAAATGTGGACACGTGCAGAACACCAAGTTCAATTTGAGTCTGACTGAGGTGTGAACGTGCAAGAGAACACGTCTGAATTCAACTGAGTCGAATTTCAGTGGGGCAAACGTGTTTACATTTCCAGCTTTACTCGGCCCAAAACAAACCATTTTTTTTCAATATAATGTAAATAGAGGGTTAGGTTCATAGTCAGCATTAAAATACCCTAATATTACACCTTTATTCCCAAAATAATCTGAACTTTGTCCTGACAGTTTGTCACATTAAAGCACTTTGTTACCAAATGTTTGTGAATGTGTTGTAGAAATAAACATTTTCTGGCAAAATCTAATTTTTCTGACCACTTTGTCTTCTTCATAGGGGATCTCTGTCACATCTGAGAAGGAAATTGGTTTTGGAACATCAATTGTGTTTAGAAATTAAATCCAGACCCTGAGTGAACGCAGTTATGTATGGAGATGTCACATTTATTAAAAAATAACCAAACAAAGACATATAAAAAAAACAGCTAGAGCAAGAAATCATTTCATCGCAAACATACTTCTGATTTTCTTTTTCAGCCAGTCTCTTTGTGCAAACTCACTGTCAACAGCCTCAGATAATCAGTGTCTAATACTGCTGGACAGAAAACCGTAACATCCGAACACTTCTAAAGTCAGACCATGAGGAATTCAGTGACGCTGCTAACACAATAGAATCAGGTAAAACAGAAGAAGAGATGCTGTGTTTTTAAAAGCAGAATAGAAGATGCTGAAATCAAGTCGGAAGTCTTATAAAAAGGTAGAAGAACAAAATAAAAACAGTTTGATCATTCCAGTAAACAGTAAAGAGACAAGAAAGGTATAAAAAGATGGATGACATGACAGCTTCCTTTAAGTGAAGCCAAAATATCTGAAGCTCCCTCTACTGACTGGATGCAACATGATCAGCTTTATAACTTTAAAATAAAACTAAACATCTAATTCATCGAAACTCAAAAAGTCAGTGTCTATCTTTGGGAGTGTTTTTTGGTTTCACTTTTGTCAAACAGGATCAGGAGGAGGAGGCATGTTGTCCATCTTTATATACAGGCAATGATAGGGAGAGAGGACAGAGCAGGCTGTTGATTTTTTAATCCCAAAGGCAGTGTGCTGTCCGCCCTCTGCAGGCTTTCATTTCATCATGATCCGAGTGAACACAAATCCCTGTGCCCTGTCTCTACAAAGAATCAGCCCTGTGGTTTGTGGGAGGTCCGGGTGTTCAGGTTCATCCAACAGAAGGTGATTTGAGGCTACATGCATGCAGAGGCAGATCATCTCCATGACGAGGTGGAGTGGGGGGGGAGTCGTTGTCTGTTCCCGGGGTTGTAGACTCGGTGTGGAAAGGAGATCATGATGCTGCAGGAACACTACTGAGTATTTTGTCCATTTTTTTAATCGTCTCTACTCGACTGTTTTTTGGATATTTTTTTTTAAGACTGAGGGGGAGGGTCTATGTCGCAAACTCGTGGTAGCCATAGCAGTCTGAGACAAAGTCACCTAAAGAGTGAGACAGGGCAGAGAAAGGAAAAAAATATCAAAATTAGATGTTTACTTGATTTTTTTTTCCTGCCATAAAGAGGCAGTTGAGTACGTCATTTGGTCAGATTGTTAAAAAACTATAATTTTTTATTTTTAGATTTCTCTGCTCCTGTCACGCTCAGGTAGGTCAGTTCTCAGACAGGCTGCCAGAAGGACGAAAACTGGTTCTCAAAAAAGGGAGAGGAGTTTGTCAAAAAACAGATTCAATCCTGTGGCTTAAAGCAGAGAAATGTAAAATCACTGAACTGGGAACACTCCGACATGTTCATCACCATTTTCTCTCTTTTGAGGAGTGAAACCATCTCCTCTAACAGCCTAAATATTCCCTTATTACAGCACGAGTTGATTTACAGTCCTGACAAATGCAGCATCTTGCCAGAGGACACAGAAAAAATGTTGACAAACTGTACAGCTTCGCTTTGTTTTTCTTGCATGATAGATCCAATTCTGTTTGCAGCCCAGAGAAAGAGCACATATCCAGTGAAAGCAGGATTAAAATAGATGAAACATATACTCACTGTATCCAGAGTTAGTGTTGTTCCCGTATCCATATGTTCCGAATCCCCCTGAGAGGAGAACTCAGAGTTAAGGTGCTGAAATGACAGCCTTGAAATCCTGTTTTTCATTTATAAATACAGAATCAAACCGACAGATACAATAAGGCTATTCTATCCGTTTACCTCCTTGACCATAGCCTCCTCCGTTATTGAAGCCCCTCCCTCTTCCTCGACCTCGTCCTCCTCTTCCTCGACCCCTGGGTGGAGCTGAGTCCCCGACTCCAGGTGCGCCCATCATGCCAAAGCCTGGAGCGTGCTGATGAGGAGACAAAAAAGTTATCATCTCATACCACTGTGTATTGCTATCCTGCGGTCATTACTAAAGTTGGTCTAACTAAAGAAGCATGTAGTCGGCAACATTCATCTCTCGAGGGGGTGTCTTACTCGTTCTTACGGAGTGTTTGACCCTAAATCAATTTTATGCCAGAATATCCCTATAAGTTATTCGTTTAAACTGATTGCCTTGACTTAATTTAAACCAGTATTTTCCATTGTTCCCTGAGCTTACCATCGGTGGTCCCTTCTTCTTCTTGGCGGCCTCGGCCACACAGCCTTCAGGGAAGAGTCGCTCCAGAGCAGCCAGGGCAGCGTAAGCCTTGGCCACCTTCTTGTTGGACCCCGTCCCCTGAAACTTCTGCCCGTCAATCTCCACCTCCATGACGAAGCGTTTGTCGTGGCTGCCGCCCGTCTCTGAGATGAGTTCATACTTCAGGCCGCGGCGCTTCTCATTCAGCTCCATCACCGGGTTTTTGCCGTGTTTTGTGAGAATTGGTCCCTGTTGGCGGGCAGTCTGAAATCGGAGACGGACGGTTAGTGAAATTAGAAGCACAAACATGACATTGTGTACACGGCGTGCTGCTCTGTACCTCTGCAGCGTCAGCGTTTTCAGTGTTGGCTGTTCCTGTAGTGGCAGTGGTTGTTTCCACAGGTGTGACTACTGGCCTCATTTCATCCACTGCTACAGTAGTCTCTTCTGCCTTCACTGGCTCAGCAGTCTTCAGTTCCACTCCTGTGGGCAGACCCATGTCCTGGAGGACCTGTAACCACCCACACAGAATTATTACTACTCAAACAATGTGAACTTTCATTACCTGGTAAAATGGGAAAATCAGGTGATGAACTGAATTTTAATTATAGCAGAAACTGAATACGGGGCTCACCTTTACAGCTACGTGCAGCTTGGCAGTGCGTTTTGATGGCCCGGAGGCGTAAAAGGACTTTCCGTCAACTTCAACAGACATAGTAAAAACGGGGACATGGACCGGGCCTGTTTGAGAGACCAGTTTGTACTGGAGACCCGGCTTCAGCTGATTGAGCCTCATCAGAGCATTCATGGCCTGCGGGGGCTCGGCCTTCTCCTCTGCAGCTAAAGGAGAAAACAGGAAGCATAAAGACAGGGATTATGGAGGCCAGAAATGTTTTCATTGGTCCTTTTATTCAACTAGTCAACAAAAAAGGGAAAAATCACAAATTTTATATGGTCACATTTTAAATCTGACAGTTTTTCTTTGAACCAAAACGCACATAACTTTAAACAATCCATTTTTCAGACAGTTGTTGAGGTTTTTCTTCCACTTACATTTTTTCTGCAGCTTTTTCTTCTTCTTGTTTGGACTCTTGTCGTCAGTTCCTTCCTCTTCCTCGATGGGCCTCTTCATCGGTGGGGCATATGCTGTACTCGGTGGAATTTGAACTGCAGAAAAGAATTTTGAAAAATACAAAATGTGCATTTTATTTTGAGTATTTTTTTGAAAGTAGTCATTGCACTCGCTTAAATATGCTTCTCTTAGGTGTCGGGCTTACCTGTGTAATCTATGGGGGTCTCACTGCGAGGTTTTTTGGGCATCTTTGAAGGGAGGGGGTCCATCCCAAGCACTTTGTGAAGCTGTCCGAAAGCTGACAGCCTTAAGGCATGCTGACAAGACAAGACCAACAAAGTCAATCACACATCAGGTCTATTTAAAATAAACATGGACACACTTTTCTTCTTCACTCACTTGTGCACTTGCTGTGATGTCTTCTCTTTGCTGGAGGTCTAAGTGACCGATGGCATCGGTGGGCTCCTTCTCGCAAGGGTCAGAGACTCCAGCTCCTTCTGCAACACATGCAAACAGCAGATCTGACTTTCAAAAGAACAAGAACAGGCTGAACCCTCTGAACATAAAACCGTCTTCACACCTCTGGAGAAGAGGCCTTGCAGACATACCTGCCATGAGGATTCCTGAAGCCAAACACTCTAAAACTCTCCGTAGAGCTTCTCCTGCCCCCATGGGCCGATTCCCAGTGCCGATGGCTTTCTCACAGATCAACTCTAGAGGCTGTGAAGCAAGAGAGGGAGGGAATTACTTTGACGGTGCTATTTTTAATCTCGGTCACTTCCACGTAGAGATTTTAGGTCACAGCATTAGATAGAATTACAGCTGAACAATAAATTGGCTCAGCGTCGCCGCTGCAGCGTGCACATGTGCAACAGGAGGAGGGATGGTGAGGTAAATATGTCATACTAATACTTTTTTAGCTGTTTGCAATAAAAGTGGAACTCGACAAGTTCTCATTTTCCCTGACTAAGCTGTAAGATTAAGTCGAAGCACACAGGAACTGACTGTGATGCATGTTGAGTCTGCAGGTTTACTTGTCTGTAAACAAGCACACAATGCACCCTCTGGAGTAACACACAGCACAATGGCAAGCTTTCTTATTAGCAGTGGCCCCTGACCCTGAGGTTGATTTAAACATAAGCAGGGCAGACATGTTGCTCGGGGTTCACTTTAGGCTGCTAAAACTGCAACACATGTAAACCCTCGTGAAGCTGCAGCAGAGCTACAAAAACAGCTCTGGAGGAACGGCAGACTGCATGTGACACTACACACAAGTTTATTTTCCAAATGTTTGCCAGAGACAAACTGCAGCATGTGAGCATAGTTCAAGAGAGCAGGGTGGTGAGGAAACAAGACAGGTACTTGATACAGATTCTATTGGTTGGTTGCAAAAAAGCAATAACCAGAAAATGGCTCAGCAAGGACCCACAATCTATTTGGGATTGGGTATTGGGAACCCTGGAAATCTTATACAAATTTAACAAACTGAAAGTGCTCGTCTTATCCTGTGCAGATGTCACATTCTTCAATTTGTGTTGGATATGATGTATAAATGAAATGTCCCCAAGGCCCAGCTTTATTACATTTTGGAAACAAACATTTTTGTGAGTTATTGCATTTGAGGCCAAAAGACTTTGTTACTTTCCTTTCGCTCCTCGTTTAAGGTAAAAACATCTAATCATAAAAATAAAGTAAAAAAAAACAAAAAGAGAACAGGGTGGTTGACATTTAGCGGTACCTTATGTATTGGTTGTTTACAAAAAACAGTGAAGTTCTGAGGACTTGGCCGGTCTAAAATTTTTGCCAAACTGTGCTGGTGAACAAGATACCATCTATCAGCTGTGCTTGTTTACATCCAGGTAGTAGAGAATCATGAGTGACCGATAACTAAAGCTACAGTAGACAACATGGGACTGACATTTTTGAACCTCATATAGTAAAAATCAGTTCAACCCGCAAGATATTCTGGTTCAAATCAGTGACAGTGATGAGGTTTGATCGAGGGATGCACCGATTCGATACTTGGATCGGATATCGGCTCCGATATTGACAAATTAACTGGATCGAATATCTGATGAATAACGCCGATCCAGCGTTCTGATGCAGTCTAAGTAAACTATATCTGTTCATTTGTAACCTTTTTATAACAAGGCTAATGTCAAGTCCGATGACTTCACTCACAGGGCAAGGTATACAGTTCATTCATTCATTCAACAGTGGTAATAGATTGGTATCGGCCGATACACTGAGCCCAAGTATTGGTAACAGATTGGATCAGAGAAAAATGGATCAGTGCATCTCTAGTTTGATCTTTAGGTCACCTTCACACGCTCATAAATAGCTGTGAAACCATAGAGATTTACAGCGTACTTACAACAGATAATTACCTCGTACAACTCAACAAAAAAAAAAAAACTAGAAACTTTTTATTCTAGAAGACTGACAGTTCTTAACTAGTTAATGATAGTATGCCTGCATATAAATAACAGTTCAAAACGTGAATATCGAACAAGATTCTACGACTTTTAAACGCTTTATATGGAACAGTTATGATGTTTCACGGGAGCTTTTCCGATGACTCAGGTTTACGAAGCTTTCACTCACCCAGCCACGGAGCGGGGCCCACGTCGGGACTCGAGCGCACAGGTCCCTCAGGATCCGGATGACGATGACGCAGGAGCGCAGCCCATTAGCTCTAGCCTGTGGACACAAACGGGGAAGGGGAGGGAAGGAGAGGCATGTGGAGAAGAAGCCTTAGTTGAAGAGGAAGAACATGAAGCTCTCAGCAACAACATCAACAACATCCAAATAAACGACAGGAAAATAAAAACGAAGCCACACAGACTATGACAGTTTAGCTTTGTCATTATAAATGATAGATCTATCAAGGGAGAACAATGTTTGGTCACTTTATAGATGAAAGGTCTGTTTATGATACCTCACATTTATGACTGTAAAACAATGGCCGACATGATTTCGATTAAAATAAAGTTCACAGAGAAGGTATTCTTACAAATTACTCTTGGTACAAACGTTTAAATAAAGCCACCTGAAACGTAACACCAGCTACAATGTCAGAACAAAATCAGCTATTTCAGAAGGTGCCTATTAACATTAAACCAGTGAGAGCCGAAACAAACTTCTAAAGGTGCAATATTCCTGTAGATTTTGTGGCACACAGAGTAACAGAAGCAGCCAGAGAGCAGGAGAAGTTGAGGCGACATACTCTACAAAAGCTGCAGAGATGGAGCGATGACTGTTAAAGTGTGAAAGCTGGGGATGACAAAGTGCTCAAATAACAAGTGATAAAACAGAAAAACACTTTTAAAAGCTATCTGGGCGAGTAAACCCTCTGGATAGATCCGACTCTAAACAGTCTAGCAAACAAAAAACTAATAGACAAATGATGGTTAGTCTGCTGATTTTTGCTTGCATGGTGAAGAAATGCTGGACTCAAAAGACCAAAGTGAAGCGGTGGATATCTAATATTCAACAAGGCACCAAAACAAACCTTAAGTGGGATTTACTGAACTCCTGTCGTCAAAGGATGAGGATAAAGTGGTAATGTCAATCTCTGAGCCCACCGGCTACCATCTAATGTTAACGTGAGCCTCTGGGAACAATGGCCAACTCTTCAGCCATAACCTCATTTTTCATGTGCTGCATTGTTTACAGTCCAATTAGCAAATTGAGCAGTGACCATTTGATAAGGTTAAAAAGAGAAGCAAAATTTGCCCGCACAAATATGTCTGCAAAATACACATAATCATCATCATCATCATCTGTTGGTTCATTACATCCCTCTGAAGAGTACCCCTTCATCAGTTAGCAGTAAGTCTCAGTTTTGCTTCTTGTAGAGGCTTCCCTTGAGCTCACTACAACAGTGTAAACCCTGAGAGACAGTCCATTATGGTGCAAATTTTAAAAAGCAAAAAATTTGGGGTTCTTAACTCTGTCCTCGAGAGGACAGAAAAACTACTTTTTAAAGTGTAACTTTTTAAATGGAGGTCAGATCTGTTGTTCCTGACGCCTCCAGAAACTCAGGAAATCTCACTGCTGATTCCTCTCTAATAAGACTGTTTTTCCTGCGTACCAAAGCCCTCTGAGAGGTGACTAGTCAGTACTACCCAGACTACAAACCTACCACAAACAGGTTACATGAATGCAAATAGGAGCACTTGGAGTCCTTGAGGTAAAAACTGTTTGAGTAATGAACACTGAGGAATCCTAATGTAACAAGCTGAAAAGGGACTTTGATTTTAGCCTCTATCTGGGCATGCTCCCCCTGCCACTCTGCTTTACTAACACACACTAAGTCAGCAGAGAGGTATCAAATAGACATGAACGAACACATCTGTTTTTTCATGCTCACTCTTCCCATCTGTTTTACTAACAAGTCTGTAGAAAAGTTGCTGATTAACTTCCATTAACACCTCTGTCTCACCATGCTCATTCTCCCCCTCTGCATCACTAACACACATCTGTATTTGCTGAAAGTTACTTATTGAATTTGATTAACACATCTGTTTCATCGTGCTCATTCTCCCCCTCTGTTTTACTAACACGCCTTTGGCTGGTGAAAAGTGTAAGGGACATTGGTTTTGACATGGTGCTGCTTTATTCAACATTTTAACAAGGTTTTTTGGGATGTCTGTAATCAAAGAAAAAGTCATAAAGCTTGGTGTCTGAAAACTAGACATGAAATATAAAACTTTCTCACTATTGAACTGGTTTCTTTAAGCTTCTCTCAAAGAAGATATTGATATAACTGGCAGTTTTATAACATATAGATCAGTATAAAATAAAGTTTTAAGATGTTTCCCAGCCATACTGCAGGATGTGGCAGCAGAAGGTGCTCTACGAGTAGCTTGCACATATATGAAAACAGCAACAACATCTCACTCACACCAACACTGGCACTTTAGAAATATTGCACCTGGACGCACAGTGTATTAATCCCAGATTTGTTTGCTGATTGAGGAAAACAGCTGTGAAGGAGACCAAATACCTCCAAAGAGCAGCACTGATTTTTTTTTTTAAATGGCACATCACAGTAATGTGTGTTAATTTGAGCAAAGCAGCTCTACAACAGAGTAATGACAAAGGTTTCCTAAGAAACAAACATCAAAATCATTGAGTCTCACTACAGGAAGAACACCTCAAAGAGTAAAAAAGAAAATAAAACACAGGAACATCCAAAGAAAAGACAAAAGAACGAACAGCATAAAGACCAAACTCAAGACTACTTCTGTTTTAGAGACAAATAAAGACAAGATCCAAACCTGGAACCACTTAGCGTGGCGGAGAGACGCCAAGGCAGTTAGGCATTTCTGCCTGTCCAGAACATCCGGGGGATCGTTGACTGAAAGCGATTCTATTGGCAGGTGGAATAAGAAGACAAGGTACAGTTTGACCAAGGGGAGTTCTGTCAGGCGGCCAGGGGGAACACAGGCAGCCTTCCCAAACCACAGGCTGGAGGGGGAAGGGGAGGGGGCCCCTCCACAGAAGAACCAAACCAAACACTCTCAACCTCCCAGGTTATTTGGGCTTTCACAGCCTGGCTTGCTAAGATTTAACTTAAAAAACCCAACAGAATGTAAAATTGAATAATAAAAGTCTTTTTTTTTTTAAATCCCTGAATGAAAAATGTGCATTTCTTGAGGGATAATCGGTTGCATCAAATGGGAGGCTGTCTTTAATGAAAGCTTAAAGAGTATCAATTTTTTTTTCTGGTGTTATCAGGAGGTAGAGCCCCTCCCCTTGACCCCTATACTGGGTACACTGCACTTTGCCCCTTCCGAGACAGAGAGCGGCCAGTTGGTCAAAGGTCCAGCGTCCCTAAAAATTGACAAACTAGAAGGCTTGACAGAGACAATCAGAATTGAAACCACAGGCAGAAATGATCAGATGCACAAAAAGTGGGTATCAAAACAGGTCCACACTGCAGCAAAACGGATGCCTTACAAAATATAAGACCCAAGCCGGGCATCAGTGGGAGCTCAGGGCTACAGATAAGGTTGAAGGTTCAACACCTGCCAAAAAATAACACACCCGTAAGTGTTTTTAAACACACAAGATTATCTCTCTTCAATTTAATTTAAGAAGATATACAATCTATTGTGAAATATGTGCATCACCACGTGGATTTGGAATCTTCCAAGTGTTCATTGTCGTCATTAAAGACTGTATTAAATGATGGACAACACCCCCTCCACCAAGTTTCTTTTTTCCTGGGATGTTGACTTTTAACCTGTTACTTGGGGAAATGCTACCATGATCGACGACTGTCTGCAAATGCAGCTCTTGCAGCGCTGTGTGCACGGGATATGCAAAGCTGAGCTGAGGAAGTACTTCAGAGAGAAATAAACACTGTGCGTTTATGTGATGATAAAAATGTAATCTATTTACTGCGTATGTTCTACGAAAGTGGGGTTTTAATCTAAATATAGACGTTAAACTAGAACAGCAAAGTCAAATTTCTCCAGGTCAGACTTAAAGACTTGGATAATTTAGATGAGCATGGATTTTCTCTTCCATGAGAACACCTCAAACCACTCTTGGCATTCTGCACATTAACAGTTGCAAGCCAGACCTTTACCCAGAGAGACGACAGAATATGTTCGAATTACAACTAGTTACCCTTTTCCTACCTTGCTCTCTCTTCTAACAGGTCAACTGAAGAAAACCCAATAGAAACAAGCTGAAAGTTGGAACACTGTCACATACTTTAGAGAGCTGTCGAATTAAACTACAAACACAGCTTGATGTAACCGTATAAGTTCACTGACACTGAAGCCCAACATGTTGCGCTCTCCATAACTGTGTGTGCGTCTAGACATTTGCTACAGGAAAATAATGCCCGACTTGCGTGTCTTGAGTATTTTGGCTTCACTCTTGTCTGACAGGAGGAGGTGGTTGTCCATCTATACATACAGTCAGTAGTCGTTATCTGTGACCCCCGAGCTGCCCTGCTAAGGAACATCAGAGACATTCAGTAGCCCACTGTTGGGTCAAACAACCAAGGACAGTTTCGTCGCATGTTTTGCTGCAATGCAAACCGGTCATCATCAATGATAAAACACATGCAAACAAAGTGGTCTCTCTTTTTTTTTTTTTTTTTAAATATTTGGTTAAATTCTCAGTAAGCCTTCATTTCGTTGGTATCCAAGAGAAAGCCATGTCTTCTGCAGTCAGTGAACTACCTGCCCTATACTGTATATTGGGCCATCAAAAATGTACAATTACATTACATGGAACTACGAGAGTCTATAGAGCTATAAGCATAGCGCGGTTTCATTATGTGACAGTGCATTCATGTCCCCTAGCTCCATTGAAGGCCCAATAAACAATATCTGTCTAGCCTGGTTGCCTCCCTGCTGGAGGAGTGGAGGGGGGTGTTAAAGAGACTGAGGCCCAGGTGAAGGAGCTTACCTCCAGCTGCAGCCCTCTCAATCTCCTCTCGGACCACAGGGGACGTCAGGTGAATGGTGAGGGTGAGAGGAGGTTCCTTGGTGTTTTTTATGACGATGCTGGCCTCGCGGATGTGCTGAGTCACCACGTACTTTTCTTCTGTTGCCTGAAGAGAAGCAAAAACCAGAAGGTTGAGATGTTTGTTGTTTGCAGCAACAAACGAGGCGTCTACAAATCAAATATTCGTTCCTTCTAAAAAGCCTGCCTGCCTGCACATGGTGCTGCGGCAAGTTCTCACCTTGAGCTGTGTAACCAGGTTGTCAGACACTTTCTTCAGCAGGCTAATTGTGGGTTTGTCCTTACAGAGCAGCACCAGTTCCAAGTCCAGGTCCCCCTTTAGCAGCAGCCCCTTAGCCACCAGACCCACCCTCATCACGCCTCGCAGAGAACGGGTGGCCTGATCTTTGGGCTCACTGTCCAACAGAGAAATACAGGAGAGCTTAGAAGTGAGCTGACAGGTGGATTAAATTATTCTTGTGCAGATTTGACTCCCTCACACCTCCTTACACCTCCTCACCTCTCCTTATCAGTGTCGGGGCTGTCAGAGTCAGACTTGGAAGTTCCCTTCTCCTGCTTATCCAGCCAGTCAGAGACAGCCTTGAGGGCTCGCTCTGTGTGAGACACCATGTTCTGAACGCTCTCCAGCTCCTCCTGAGTCGGGTAGATAATGGAGTGTTTGGCCATGACATGGCGGTCATCGTTCATGAAGACTCGCATGCTGCGATGGCGCTGGAGAAAAAAAAGACACAAACATGTTAATAAACAAGAAAAGCTCGAGGTTTCATGACCGGACAGGACAAGGAGCTTGAGTTATTGAAGATGTAAGATTAACTAAGTGATGGAACTCCAAAAGGGATGATTTTACTTAGTTATAGCAAAAGGAAAAATCAACTTAATTCAAGGTTGAAGGTGTGTTGTGGAGCAACATTGGAAGGGAAATTTAGATCTGTTGGTTTTCAGTATCACAAATCAGTCTCTCTTTTTACCTGGCTAAACCATCATGCCATGTTCCTGTCGGGACCATTACACAGTCTATGGTCAGGACCAGGCAATACTCAAAGTTTCAGCTTTAAATCAGCTGAAATCGCCCTAACTGTGATTGTTACTCACCAATGTTTCTTAAAGGGATATTCCAGCATAAAATTAATTTAGGGTCAAACACACCTTAACACCGAGTTAGACACCCCCTCGAGAGATGAATGTTGACCGCTTGCCTCTCTAGTTATACCAACTTTAGTAACGACCACACGATAGCAATACACAGCGGTCTGAGGAGTATTTCTTTATTGAAATACAATCAGACCGAGACGCTAAGGCGGAAGAACTTCCGCGTCTGCAGTGCAAAATGATTAATATGGTGATTATTAATTCAAGGAAATGATAAAGTAATGATCATAAAGGTTCTTCCTTGAGCTGTGTCGCCCCGCTGTAGTCCGTAATGGACTGGGCTGAGGTCCTGCTGCAAACAAGTGGCTGCTGGAAGAGAGTAGGTAAGTTGTGTTCACTCGCCTTGCTAAAGAAATTAGGCAAAGCTAAAAAGATGTTTGGTGGCTAGTACTATGGTGAGGACCCTATATGTACTGTTGATGGAGTTAGGTGCTGTTCTGAGCATTATTTGTGGCTATAGAGAGGTGTTTTGGTTGAGGTTTGTTGATGGCTCCTCAGACCACTGTGTATTGCTATTGTGCGTTCATTACTAAAGTTGGTAAAACTAGAGAAGCAAGCGGTCGGCAACATTCATCTCTGAAGGGGGTGTCTAACATGGTGTTAAGGTGTGTTTGACCCTAAATTAATGAACTTATGCAGCATAAGGGAAATGTTAATTTATCATTTTGTATCACGATATACCAGGAATGTGTATCAAGAAAAAAAGGCTTTCAGTTGCTCTTCTACAAAATATCAGCATGACAAAAAAAAAAAAAAAAAGGGATTGAGATTTTCAAGAAATAGATGAATAGTTTCTTGTTGTTCAAAGCTTCAAGAGGGGACAACACACATGTCTGGTGCATGTCAGGTCATTGCTGTTTAGACTGCAGAGAGGCCTTACGGGATTATTGGGTAACTAACAGAATAAAACTCGTTTAAATTGAATTGCTCTGACTTTGTTAGTCATGAAGCTAACTTCATTGATTCGCCTCGTGACACAGACTCTTTCCAACATTCAAAAAAAAAAGTGTTACTCAAGTTTAAAGGCCTAGTTTTTCTGCCATGCTAATATTTGATTAATTTGAATATCACAAAAGTAGGTCTCTAGTCGAGGCCGAGCATCTTATGCCAATGATTACACAAGCAGAGCGCACACGGGCAGCCAAAGCTAATTTAGAGGAGAGCAGGGATGTGGAAGCTACAGCATGTGCACCTAAAGCCCCGGGCAGGCTGGAGTATCTGAGCGCTGGCACCAGTCCTGTGGCTTAATTTAGATGTGACACATTTGTTTGTCCTGGTAACAGTGGCATTTTACTACCAGGTTCTCTGTGCCACGCGTGAACAAATACGACGAGCTGCGAAGGAAAATAAGAAGTAAAAAGGTTCCATTACCATTACCATGGTCGATCTAAGGACTGGTGTCGTCTGTGTCCAGCGAATAAAAGCGATGGTCAGCTCAGCAGCAGGTGACTATGTACAGTCCGTCACTACAGCAGAACACACATGCAAAACACACAAAAATTACCTGGAAAGCCAGAATTTAAAAGGTCGCCGCACAATCAAATGCAGGACGGATAGACAGAGGGCAGGCTAAATTTACTCTGATGAAATGAATTAACAAGCAACCCTGAGGCCACCGGCACTGAAGATAGCTGATCCATTTGTAAAATAAAACGGTCACCAGGTGAACCAACAAAGAAAAGCTTTTAACACAACTCCTCACACTTCTCAGGGACAAAACTCAACCCCGCTTTCACAAGCAGATGTGTGATGCCTGATGTCAAATCTGACTCAATCGCAATCGAATTCCATTTCCCACATGCAAAATGCGGATACTTCTATTGAGAAAACGCAAAAGCAGTCTTCAAATGGTTCTGTCAAATAATTCAGAAATGGGTGACAGCTTGTTGAAAATTAACAGGGCACTGATGGTGGTCTTTGTGCCCACATATAGACCGTATCGCAGCAGTCACTGGTTCCATTCCCAGCTACAACCGTTTGTTGAATGTCTTCTCCTGCTCTCTACTCCTTAGATTCCTCTAAACTTTAATTCTTCCACAGTATTTTTCTGCAGAATGATAATTTTTCTTGTTTTAACATCTCTCTTTCCTCATCATACTGGTAGTTTTTAAGTTCATTTTGTGATGAATTTTGGCTCCTCCTATAGACAAAGTAGTCCCTTTTGATGAACAATCGCATCCTGTTGACTTTCAACAGCCAAACTGATAACTTATTATACACATTGTACAGGACAACTGTAAAAACAGGACTGTTTCTTTAACTGCTCGACTGACACATTCCTGCTGCACTGGTTTGGGGACTGAAAATTCCAGTATAAATATCATCACATGGTCATGTTTGCGTTTGAATTTCATTACAAACAATCAATATTAAATTCAGTCCATTTCATAAACATTAAAAAAACTACTCACAGGACCTTTAAACTTAAACCACCAATATTTGCCAATATGGTTCCTGTACAGTTCAGTAGTCAGTAGACAATCATAATCATTCAGCTGTTTCACTGGTGTTTAAAGTGCAGACTAAAGGTCCTTACGCGACGCGAATATAGAATGTGAAATTATGAAGTTCTCTGAGGTGAATTTTGATGGGCCTGACAATACACATCAAGCCTGATGCAATTTTGCAACTTTCCAGGGGGGAAAAGACGCGTCCCAGGGCAGACTTTTCCCGGGGAAAGTCCCGCCTCCTTCGCCTCTGCTTGGCTAGAAAAGCTGGAAACATCATCACACACTCAAGCCAAACAGTCAGCACATATAGCCAATCAGGGGCGATAAGATAAGCCCATGAAACCATGGTAACAACAGTTAGCTTACAAAAGCATTTCACAAAGTGTTAAAGCACACAAAACATCATCATATAACAGATTCGACGCTATGTTGTCCTTCAGGTCTTTATCTTTGTAATATTTGTGTCTTTTACCATAAAGCACTCTGTTCTCAGACACGTAAACAATCAGCCGGTCGGCCATGTTGAATATACCAGTGAATCTGACGTTGCAATAACACGCAATCTGATTGGTCAGAAGTGGACACCGTATGCGAAACTTTAGAAAAATCGACCATGATCCTAAAGAATAAATGCTGCAATATCGGGAAAACATTGCTGATGTGAACGCTTGTATTGACAGGATACGGATTCGAAAAAAAGTGTAGACGTCCGGAATAATTGCACGCCAAAAACGGTCCTGGTGTGTAAGGACCTTTAAAAAAAAATTTAGAAAATCGACAATATCGTAGAATCGCACTTTAAACAGAATCGGCATCCAAAAAATTGTAGAGAAATGGAATCAGGAGAAAAGCATATCACCCAAGCCCTCCTATTCATAAAGTCTACCAAGACATGGCAGAAACTATTGAAAAGCATATTGACCATGTTTTATATTGATATTAAGGGAAATAAATTTTCGATATATCATTATCCTTTCATCGCCCAGCCCTAATTGCATGGTTTATTTGTTTTGCTGGTAGAAGGACATCTTAATACCACATTCTGTCTTTTCTATCTTCTTCTATTAATCTTTATCTCCTAAAATACTCTGCTTCTCCATTTTGGGATCCCTCAGGTACATCTATTTCTGCACCTATCTACTTGAATAGGCAGGCATGTCAGGAGCATAGAAAAGAGGTTTTCAAATTGAGAGATAATTCAGCCTTACAATGATAATATAATTCAAGAATAGGGCAAAGTAGGTGGATACATCCGAGAGAGGTTGTTTTAGTGTCTAAATCAACAAGCTCCTGAAGGCACCAGGCCAACATCAGTCATTGTAGTAATTATACACCTGTTAAACCTCCACTGACGCCAAACCCTTAAATAAAAAGGGAAGAGCAGCTTGTACAAAAAGTGACCAAACGGTTTTTGATCCAGACATAAAAGCTACATCAGGGGAATTAAAAACAGACGCCATTTTAATTCAGTCCAGAGCCTGGCGAACATCCCCCACAAAAACACAAAACCGATCATCCATCGTTTGAAACAGCGCCGCGCCGACACGCTGAACAAACCACAAAATACAACAAACATCACTACTTAATCACGTTTAACAACCCAATCACGAAACAAACGTCCTCAAGAAGATGGAAAAGACGTTTTGGTGATTGAATATTAGTCTGTTGCTTATCAGACACCAAAATGGTCGAGGAGGCTGACCGAGACCCCATTGACTGCTAAGCCACAATTAGCGGTTAGCTTTAGCCTAACACAGCCGAATCAATCACCCACGAAACGAGCATAATTTACAACACAGTAGTACATTAACGAACCATTCAAAGATACTTGACAGATAAAACGCAACAAAATCCAAATGGGGTAACCTGACGGTGTGCAACAGTGTCTTATCTCACTCACCGTGGTGTCGTTGCTGCTAACGGACCGTGCTGCACGTTAGCTCCCCGGTGTCGGCAGCAGGAGAGCAAAGGGACCCGCCCACGATAAGTAAGCTCATTGGATGGAAGCTGCGTGTGACTAGGACAACAGCCAATCGAGGGGAAGGGGCGTGGTCAGGTGTGGGGGCGTGGTTAGCGATGAGCGCTGCGAAGGCAGCCATCTGCCCTCAACAGCTGGTTGGTTAATTAACCATCTTTAGGAGACTGACTTATCAACATGATCACGACCGGGTGGTACATGATATTGTATTGTTTTCTATCGATATTGACAGTGATTGAAGGGTTTAAGATCAAATTCTTCTTAATTGAATATTTTGAGGAGTTGTTGAGTTACTAGTTTCTGCTAATAAGACTATTTGTTTTGTAAAAAGCCAAAGCAATAATTTAACGATATCATGTCTTTAAAGCCATCTTGTGTGTGATCTTGTGTGCACAAGTTATAATCTTGAGGGACCAAGTATAGGGGAGATAGGGGTAAGTTGAGCCAAAGGGTAAGTTGAGCCACCCACTGTAACTTGGAAATGGGCAAAGAAATTGATCATGTGACCAAATATTTAGGAGATGGGCATCAATTCATGGAGTCTATGAAGGTTAGAAGCACATTAGTGAAGGTGTTAGACATTTATTTACAAAAAACATTTTTCACTCTTTCTGTCATACCATAGACTGTATAAAGAATGGACAGAGTCTGCCTCCTTGCTGGGTGAAGCCACTCTGAGAACAGCACCCTCTGTGGATGGGCTGCAGTATAGGTCATAAATCCCGCCTCCGCCAGCAAAGCTTATGGGGCTGTGGACAAACTTTAGAAATTTATTACACAGAACATAAATTTTTCTCCCCCCTGCTTGTGGTGTTGACATGTAGTTACAGTAAGACTGGTTTGTGCTGAAGTCTTCCTTTCCTGTACAGCTCCGTTTTCAAAGGTTATTAGGGGGTTCATGTTTTCTATGATTGACACCTGATACAGCCTATGGGAGTTCAGGGATTGCGTAGCTTTCCCAGGGGATACGCTGTTTGAGCCGAGCGTCATCACAGTGACTCTCGGTGACTACGCGCATCACTACTGCGCGGTGCTGGTTTGAGGAAATGAAGAAAAATCCTGGAAATACCGAGAGCTGTGTTTTATGTTTACACTCATTCTGTTGGTTTGCAGGGATGCACAACATCTTGAAATATTTGCAGATACACTAGTTAGAGACAAAATAATGATTGCCTTGATGTAGTGATCCGAAACATGAAAAATAGCACCCTCCCCTACTACCCTGTGCACACAAAATTAACTTTTTCTCTGTTGATCCCATTAGATAATGATACTATGTGTTCACAATAACTGACTGACTGTGGTAATAAGTTATTTTATTGTATGGAAAGTTCCATAATAGGAAAAAGTCATAACATAAATATCATGTGCATACAGGATTTTTCATTTTCACAAGGCTACTTGTTTCCATGGTACCATCATATAATGCACAACATTATTGACTTGTTTTCACGCGATTTTAATGCTTTTTGTGAGATAACTCCCTTTGCACACAAGACAATGACTTGTTACCACAAATGTTGTCCACAGTTTGCTTTCATCATGAAAAATTATATTTTAGAATGTATAAAATATTGCATACATTACTGGTGCAAACCACAAAAATTGAAATTGTTGAAAACATTTATTTTTGGATTTTACATTCCATTTTTTTTTTAACAATATCACATTCATTTAGCTTTTTTGCAACGTGTTCTATAGCTTCACTTTAGTCCCTGGAAAGTCAGGGAAAATACTGTTGATACATTCTCAGCTACACACAAACAAATAACAAGACAAACAAACATAAAAAGAGCAACAAAAAACACACATTCACATTCATATCACAGCACTAAATCAGACATATGTACAAACATGTTTTTTCACATCTTAAGCTGAGGTCAAATCACAGCTTTTTCTTTTTTTTCCTCACATATAATGAGAGCATTTACAAAAGTCATTAACTCTTTATTTACAAACTATTCTTGAACGATGAGATGTTTGCTACAAAAGTGGACACAGACTTCATGTCAACAGAAAGTTATATTAGAGCAAATCTAAGACTGTGGTGCAAACATGACCTGACCATGGCTCTTGATGCATTCAGTTTAACACCACAAACATCTTCTTTTTACTCTTTAATTTTACCACATACAACAACATGGAGGTTCTAATAAGCTGCTTAGGAATATTTCAGTCCCAATATTTTTACTTCATATGATTCAACCAGCATAGCTCTCTTTTTCAACATCAAGTGAAAACATTTTTTTTCCATATTAACATTTATACTGTATTATGATCAGGATAATCGACTCCTGGCCTCAGCATTGATCCTACTGGCCGGTGACAGAGAACCCCTTTAAAAGTGACAGTAGACACGTCCATTTCAGTGCATTTGAGTCTTGTTTACTTTGTTTTTGTCTGAGCTCTGAGAGAAGTTACTTTCCCAGCGTATCGAGCGGATCATGCTCCCTTTCAGACTGGCTTGCTTCTTAGTAATACGGTAGATCTTCCTGAGGATGGCACGTCGCAGTAGGATGTAGACCCATGGGTCCAGGATCTGGTTGCAGGTTGCCATCCTGACACCTGTCACCATTAGCCACCTGTAAGTGTCTTTGTCACTGCCAAGGGTGCCACTGTAAGACCTTATGGCTGACATCAGTCCAAAGATCTGAAGACAAGAGAGAAAAAATAGTTTAAGCAAAAAAAAAAAAAATCATAAAAGAATTAAATATAAAGAGGCTGGATCACAACTCACAAGAACACATTTATGCAAGCTGTACGGCTCTTTTTCTACTAGACTTACTACTAGACTACTAACAACAGCAGTGGAAAGTACTCAAATGTTTAAATTTCAGCTGGACATAACTCTAAAATGATATATTTTCCCCTCCAACAGATAAATCCCAAAGATGTAGAAAAATCAAAATTTGGCAAATGCTATTAATTTCATTATTTTCAATCGTGAAAACGAGTTGCAGTTCATTTTTACACAACCATTTCAATTTATCGCATTGCATGATAGTGAAAAAAAAATCAAGTGTTCTGCAACGTGAGCGCCCTCTGCTGGCCCCCTGCATTTCATTGATATTTGTTGCATATACTTCTATTCGCTTCGGGTTTTGCACTTTTTGAAAAGCGGCTGCAGAATCAGGCAATAATCAAAAAAAAGCCTGCAAAATCTTAGAGGGAGTGAGTAATCGAAGCGCAACACTACCTTATCATTGGTTTTACTCATTGTCATCTTGTACAGCCTCAAATTGTTAAAACAATTAAAACTTAATTGAAATTAATGTAGAAAGTTTTCAAATCAAAATAGAAATCTTTAATTTTTCAAAGAGGCAAAAACTAGCAAGTTTGATGTATTTCAAAAAGCCAATCAAACAAAGTGAAAGACGTGGTGAGAACGGACTGAGAGGAAAATATTTAGATCAGATAAAGAGGAGAAACGAAACAATAATCCATATGAAGGAAAAACAAAATGAACTCTCTGACTTTATCTAATATCAGGAAGTCAAAAAAGGAACCTGCAGGCTTTGTGGTTTTACATAGATTGCAGTTTTGACAAAAATACATGTCTTTGCTAACTGCTTAGGAAACAGATGTTTCAGTGTATAAAGGTAACAAACTTTTTAAATAAGTTTTGGTTGTGTTGGAAGGTGTGGATGATGTAATAATTTAAAACATGCTGTCAAATATTGGTGAAAGAAGAAGTGAAAATGCTAGTTATATTTGGTCTGTGTTTTTCTCCACACTCACCAGCAGAGGGCTCCAGCAGATACAAGAAGTAACCATGATGCCAACCAGCTGCACCACCATCTCTGTGTCATGGGATCGGGCTGAGCGGCGCTGGGTGCTGGTCTTGTTCTTTAGCCGAGCTCTGATTAACCTGATCCCACTGATGGTGTTAAACACAAAGGCTAAGGCCAGAGAGCCCAGAGCCAGTCCAGAGAACAGCACCACAAAGGCCAAGTCTTTCAGTTCAGTGCCCTCCATGACCCTAATGAAGCACCAAGTCCCTGGGTACTGATAAGTATAGGCACCCAGGCTGAAGTTGGGCAGGAGCGCAACACACAGAGCCAGCAGCCAGATCATAGTCAGTGCCATCTTTGTCCGCGCTGTGGTCACCAGCCGAGCATGCAGCAGAGGCTTGGTGATACCCATACAGCGCTCTGCAGCCATGGCACACCCAAGGAAGAGCGGGCACAGACCAAAGAAGACCATGCATCCTCCCAGAAACAAACAAGAAGCATCCAGATCTGCAGGGTCACCTCTCGAACCAGTAGGGGGATCTGCTGTGGACTTAGTGCCTGAAGAGTATCTGCTCAGTACAAGGGCTCCAGGGATCACATGTCCAGCAAGATCTGTGGCCACCAGAGAGCTGGCGAAGAGCAGGAAAGTGGCCTTTGACCTCCGGCGGAAGCGGTTATAAGCCTTGGCGAGTATGATGAGGGCGACCATGTTGAACACGATCCCCAGAGTCATGGTGAGGCCGGCAGCAGTGGGGTTGTTGGCTGGACGGGTGACATTACATGCCACGGCCTCCATCTCAGGCGTCTGTGGCATGATGGTGTGGTTAGAGGGAGGGGAGGGGGCCAGGATGCCCGAGGAGTTAAAGCATGGCATGGCGAGCATCACCGCGGAGCTCTGGGCCAGTTGTTCATCGTCAGGTAAGGGAGATTCTGAAAGGAGACAAATGTGAAAATATTGGGTTGAAAATCTTATTGGTCCTCTATAATGAGAAAAGTCCTGATATAACTTTCAATGCTTTTCTTAGAGCCACAACTTTACTTAAAAATACTAAAACACTTAAAAATGATGTTAGTCCAAAACTTCATGAGAGACGTGTGACAGCCAACTTCGACGTGGCTTATGTCATCAAAGTGTTTTTTTAGCTTGTGTGCCCGAACTTGTTGTGTCTGGCTCCATGTGAATTGGGAGCAGAGTGTTTCCATGGAGGCGATGAGGGATTTTAGCTGTAACATGTCAACCGCACCCACAATCAAAATAAAATATCCCAGTTGCTCAATCAGAGTTGCTGTCAGAGGTAGGAAATCTGTCTGCCAGTCTCTCATAAAAGCAGCAGAGTGGCAAAGTTACATAACACTCATGAAGATTTTTTTTATGTAACTCTAAGCTATAACATGATGCACAGTGTAAAGTCCATAGACAATTTCCTCTTTTTCACATTTAAGAATTTCCAAACAGTTCCAGACAAGTTTCAAATTTCATGTCAGTGTCAGACATCTTGCTTTCCTCTTCACTCACGACAGAAGGAAAGTTTGAACAAGTTCGGGCAGTTTCTGCTCTACTTTGACCTCTGCTGCTGCAGGCATTCCTGCTCAGGTATTATTACCTGCAGCAGCAAGTTGGAGCTGTCAACAGTACGCAGTCAAAACAAGACACAAGTGCAAAACCATTTATTTATCAAGAAAAGTGTCAGTATTAGACTAAATGCACTTTAAAGAAATTTACCTTGACTTAATTGGATTATTAGTGGTGGAAGGAAACAGACACAGCGCCATCTGTGTGCTCTTCTGTGTAAGAACACAAGCTTGTTTGAAATCTGGTGGGTGTTTTTTTTTTAAATGTATCACTGATTTTTCAAAGTAAAAGAAAATTTGAGTTACTTGTTCTGCAGCTATTTATATATCATGATTTATTTCTCTTGACCAAACCCACAGAAGAGAATTTATGGTAAAATAGCATTTCTTGATTAATTTAAATTGTGACAGATATTTAAAGATTGCTCAGTAATGGATGAATATCAATTTATGTGCAAAATCATGTATTATAATGATTTAACAGTAATACTGACAGTTTAACATTTAGTTTGTTATTCTGTAGAGTTTAAGAAGAATTTCCTTTGAAGTTCAGTGTTTTCATACGTTTAAGTGACTCCTTTTTTTAACCATGACAGCAACAATAAAATGTACAATTTTGCAAAACTTGAAAGAAAACACACAATAATAACCTCTCTGAGCATTAGTTGTCCTTGAATTTAACTGCCGGCTTACCTTTGCAATGATGAACCCATGGAGATGATCTGGATCAGTCTGATTTCGATGACAACTCATCACTAAGATGATTAAAAAAAAATTAATCCAACTTGTCTTTGAATCTTCTTGTGTGGAATTAGAGTAGAAGTACTTTTCTCTCAGTATTTCCTCCTCTTGAAAATATGTTAAAACTCTTCCTCCTCAGAACAAGCAGCTTCTCTGTAGCGCTGTACAAGCATGTCTTCTGTAACTCTGACTGCATGCAGCTGCTTATATACAGCTGAGCTGCACTGAGCTCTCACTGCCTCTGGGTGTCTCAGTGTCCGCCTCTTTGCTCCAGCGGAGATTCTCTGGAAACAACAGGAAGCTTTTGTCACTCTGAGATGAGAATGAATATTTAAAATCCAGCTGATTCCTTTCCTCCAAACAATGATGAGATGATCCTGTGGTCTCTGGTCCCAGTGGAGCTGAACTCTATCATCTCGTCTGTATGGTGTATTAAGTGACTGTGGGTTATGATGTCAGATAAATTGTCACTTCTCTGGAAGGCAGTATTTGACCTTGAGTTTCAGGAGAATGTAGCTCATTTCTTGATTGTAACACTTCAGTGTGCAAAAATTCAGAAAAATTAAGGTTATTGGGAAAAAAAATAAGCATTAGTTTACTGAAAGAACGTTTATTTTGATTTGTTGCACTTTTAGTAGGAACAAATATTCTATCCCAGTGGTTCTCAATTGGTGGGTCCCGACCCAAAAGTGGGTCACGGACACGTTCTGGATGGGTTACGAACAGCTGGTCAAAAAAGTAAATATTTCATGCAATATTTATTAGATATTTTCTGTATATGCAACCTTAGTAGTTGTCGTCCTCATGTTGTCCCCTTCATGTGCTCTGAAATGCACTTTACTCAATAAAACAAGTGGATTTTTGTTAAAGATTAGAGTCTTTAAAGGTTTTTTTTAATAAAAAATAAATTTGCTGGGTTTGAATTCTGTAAAAGTGGGTCACGACTTAAGGACCATGGGAAAATGTGGGTCCCAGAGTGAGACCAATTGAGAACCACTGTTCTGTCCCATGGTACTCCTGATGCAAGTGCATGGGAATCATTTTGTAAAGTGTAAGAACTTCTCACTGTATTTCCTCCACCGCCTGCCTCTTATATTCTGATTATTGAAAATAACCAGCAAGAAATTCTGTGTTAAAAGTCTTATCTTGCAATAGTTTGAAAGGAATTTAATACAGGGATACAGGAATCAGTCTTGTTCCCCATTGGGTACAAGACTGATATACATGGTACTGCTCAAAGAGAGAAAAAAGTGAATTATTTCGACCTTTTGGTGATCTCAGTCCAGGCCAGAGTTTTAGTGTGATGTCAAAACTGGCAATAAAAAATTGCGTAACAACTTTTCATTTTTAACCACTGAACACCTCTACATGTTTGAATTTCACATTTTACTGTCCAAAGTGATGTGCATTTCATGTCAGGTTGAACTTAACTATCTCAGAAGTGCTTTGAGTTTGAGCAAACACCCATGAGCTAAGCATACAAGTGCAACTAATCAGAATGATGTCTGCATCATAAAAGCCAGCAGAGCGTTGTTATTTTAATGTGTGAATCACCACAGATGTGTTGCTCAGTTCTAAATAATGTCCAAAAATTGGCAGTGCTTTGGCCAGTCATGCCTTGCTATTGCTATGAAGTGTCTAAGTGATAGTTTCAGACCTCACTGGCAAAGTAGCACAGCATTAATTTGAACAATAAATCTAAAAGTAATGATCTTAAAGAACATTTAACTGCATTCATTTGAATCACAAATCAAGGCGCTGCCAATAATTGCTTTATATGACTTGAATGGACTTGAAAAGCTTGATCCTTCCAAGTTTAACTTTCATTAGAAGTGACGTAGCCCGACTATTATAGTTTAATGCTTTCTCTATCAGTGTAAGTATTAGCGTATCGAATATCTGCTTCCCCTTTGCACCTAATAGTACTTTAGTAAAAACACTCCCTGTCTACAGAGCACTCCCAGCAGCCCTGTTGCCAATTCTCATCAATGCAGAACAGATGAGCTGCTGCTGCTGCCACAACAAACATGTCCATATCAGCCTGAAGCTTCAGCTGTGACTGTGAATGATTTTACAGTTTTCAAACCCTTGATACACGATTTAATGCTGCAGGTCTCACTCAGAGGATGAAAGCAAAACACACCCTTCAAATAAGTAAAATCTCTTTTGTTTTCTCTTAGTAGAAAAGTATAAAAAACTACTAAAGTTGTAGAGTCAAGTGATGAAATCTAGAGGGTTTCAGGTTATCGCCATAATTACATCCAAATGAAATTCCTCTAACACAAAGAAGTCCTCTCATTTCACCTTTTTTCCTTTTCAAAGACTCCACTGTTATACACAAGTCTTTGTTCAGAGCTCACTGCAGCTGTGTGAGGACCCTTGACCTGCTGTGAGGTGAGGCACAGACTCAGATATGTGCGCTCATTTTAGGAAAATCTGTTGGTTTAATAATGTGGAGAAGAGGCTGAATGTTTCCTCCCTGCATGGACTTGCATGTATGTTCACCTGTGGAGTTTGCAGACAGCGTGCAGTTAGAGACAGGTGTAGCAGTGGTAATATTGGCCGCAGATTAGCACATACCTGTTAGTCTACTGTGCCATAAAACCTGGAGGCTGGTTAAGATTGTGGACTAAATAGAAGACTTCACTGTTTGTGAATGGAGATGAGAAGCACAGTCAGCGAGCTACTGACAGCTTGTTTTGAAAAGGTGAAGGGAAGCAGCTCTCCTCTGACTGAAATGTAGTGACTAACTCCTGTTCCCTGAAGAAGAGGTCAGAGGAAAAACATGTTAAGTATGGAGTTTTGACCCCACTGTGGCCAAACTCTTCAATGTTTTAGAGCAGCTGATTTGAGCTAACTGAGGTGATCCTTAACCAGGGCTGTGTCGGGACCTTTTAGTTGGGGTGGCACCGACCAATTCAAGGGTGGCAAGAAGCATGTGTGTGCACATACTAAATTGAATAGCATGACCCCTGTCTTCACTTATTTGCTCTAACTACTGATGTGACTGTGAGAATGAATGGGAGCACATCACTCTTCTCAGCTCAATTCTTTAAGGACCCCGAAAGATGGTGTTCGTCCAAAGTCATAATCAAAGATACAATAAAAAGAGAATGTGCTGAATTAAAATGCACAGAAAAGTATGTCCAAAAAGGATGGAAGAGAAGAAAAACTACCTCAAGTATTGATTTTTCCAAATCTGCCAAGCTAAATAGTAAGGAATTTGGAAGTTGCTTCACCAGTAGATTATCAGGCTCCACAGTGGGGCCAATGCCAATCCTAACCACACGTTTGAACACGCCACTACTATGTGTACCTCTTTAGCAGTTTACGATATTTCCTAGTTGTCTCAGCAATGTTTTCCATTCAGTTGGAATAACACATATTCAGCCTGTTGAGGATCTGCAGCCTCTCAGTTTGTAACCTCATTATCCATGCAGTGATTTGAGTGGGTGGGGTTGCTATGACAAAACCAATACCAAGGCTCTTTTGCTTCCCCATTACAGGGTTGCAAGGCTGGAGGATGGCTTAAGTATATATGTTTTATGTTTTTTCTTACATAGGCTCTTCGAGTACACCTCCAATAAGCTGAGCTAGCAAGCTATAGCTATGCAAGCCAGCTATGCTTCCCAGTTGGCTACATCTTATCTATCTTAGCCATAGCCCACTGAAGGACTGGGTTTGTGTGTTTTTGTTGGCACTGCTTTATTGGCTTCTCACAGCAAAACAAAGTGTGTGTAAAGCCAAAGAGGCAGTCCACTGTTATGCAATTCGAGCATCCATTTGCAGTCAGATTTGGATTTGGCTTCATTTACTGTCTCCACACTCTTCTGAACTCCAACCCCAGCCCTCTCCAAAAAAGAAATTGATCGTTGCTACCAGAAGCTTTGTTAACACCAGTGGATGACTGATTGGTTCACAGACTTGGCAACAGTTGAAGTTTGCAACAGCTCCAGCTCACGCAAGTAGGACTACCTGCAGACTGCTGATTTGATTGTGCAGGCTGTGATATCGCCTGTTGAATTATCTAAAATGAGGAGGTGTTGATGGTGGAACAGAGCTCAAGAAGCAGGACATATCTTCAATCAAACAGCTGTGACAAATGTCCATCATCTCTTAAAGATGTTTATTTCCTCCACTTTGAAGGACTTTTTTTGTGAATAAATCCTTCGGTCCTTAAAGCAAAACCCCTCTTCTTTAAACCTGAGTTAAAGGTGAAGAAGGGTTTATAACCTTTGGGCACAAGAGTGCTGTAAGGTTGCTCTGTTTGACAACCTAATTTGCACAACAAGGAACTCCATAAAACGGGAAACCACACACCAAAACAGCTGCAAATGGGTCTCACCATGGTGTTTACGTAACACTTCATTGGAAAAAATAGCACAGATAGATTCAACAGTGATTCTCTTGATGCTACAAACCAGGTGAACCAGTCTGAGAGCCTTGAGACACAAGAGGGACTGTTTTCATCCCTAGCTGGTCTTTAGACTTGTAACTTCTTGCATCATACAGGAATGTGCCAGTTGATTGGAACTGGTCTTCGTCCTGTAAAAACACACCAAGTTCCTCAGAAGTGCACAACATCACTGGAAAAATTAAGGGCTGCAGAGATTCATTGTGCTCCTTAAGTATCCAGAGCATTTAGTTTCACTTTGATTTACATGTGACGTCCTGCGTCACTCCCTTCTCAGCATGAAATTATCAGATGAATAAACACTTTGGTGTGAAGTACCAAGGTATAATTTTGAAGAAAGCGTTAAGATGTTCACCGTGTCTGACTCTCTGGTAAGTTTGCCTCATTCTCAGTATTTCTGCAAAAAGCAGCTGTGAAAAAAACAGGTATTTTTTTGTTGAACACCTCACATTTAAGATATTTTATGTCTAAATATTTGGGTATCATTGCGTATTCCATGATTTTGCAACTATGCACATCCTGATAAAAAAGAGCAACGGGCTGAGATGACTGTCTCAAGTTATCTGCAAAAGGTCAGCTTGGTTTTTATAATTTCCTTCTTGTTTTATATCACACTGTATGATGGAATCCTTCCCAGGAATAAAGTTTTAAGGTCTTGGATCAGAGGCGAACTTTTAAAAGTGTTGTCTTTCAAAGGAAGCTCAAAAAGGAGATCTAACTCTGCCAAGGCCATGGTGACGTTAACGGGCCGGTTTCGCTGGAACTGGATCTTCCTGCTCTCTTTGA